TGGGAATGGGGGCACCAGCTCGAGGCCTGGCTGGAAATGAACCCGGGATATGGGAATATCGGGAATATCAGGAATATGGGAATGGGAATGGGAATGAGGGCACCAGCTTGAGGCCTGGCTGGAGATGAACCCGGGGTATGGGAATATTGGGAATGGGAATGTGGGACTGGGAATGGGAATGGGGGGTGGGAATGGGAATGAGGGAATGGGAATGGGGGCACTGAGAATGGGAATGCCGGGCTGGGAGTGGGAATGGGGGGCTGGGAATTGGAATGGGGGGCTGGGAATGGGAATGAGGGCACCAGGAATGGGAATGGGAGTGGGGGAATGGAAATGGGAATGAGGGCACCAGGAATGCTGGAGACGGGAAAGGGAATGCAGGGCTGGGAATGCCGGAGAGGGGAACGCTGGGAGCTGGGTGGGGAATGAGGGAATGGGAATGGGAATGAGGAGCTGGGAATGCCGGTCCCAGCAGGGAAGGGGAGGCCGGGAATGCCCAGAAAGCTGGGAATGGCACTTGGGATTCCCTGTTCCCGCAGGTACGAGGTGGCCCCGCGCTCCGACAGCGAGGAGAGCGGATCCGAGGAGGAGGAGGAGGTGAGGGGACGTTCCCAAGGGGACATTCCCACTGGGAATGCTCGGGAAGGAGCTGAACTCAGCAGCAGCTGGTTGGCAGCTCAAAAAAAACGGGATTGGGGGGATAAAGTGGATTAAAATGGGAAAAATAGTGGGGTAAAATGGGATTGAACTGTGGGATAAAGTGGGATGGAACTCTGGGATAAAGTGGGATGGAACTGTGGGATAAAATGGGATAAAAATGAATGAAATAGCATTAAAAAAATGGGAAAAAGGTGTGAAAAAGGGGGTGAACTGGGATATAAAACTGGAAGGAAAAAGTGGGATAAAATGGGATAAAAATGGGATAAAAATGGAGAAAATGGGATAAAAATGAATAAAATAACATTAAAAAAATGGGAAAAACGTGTGAAAAAGGGGGTGAACTGGGATATAAAACTGGAAGGGAACAGTGGGATAAAATAGAATAAAAATGAATAAAATAATATTTAAAAAATGGGAAAAAGGTGTGAAAAACAGGGATCTAAAACTGGAAGGGAACAGTGGGATAAAATGGGATAAAAATGAATAAAATAACATAAAAAATGGGGAAAAAAAGGACAAAAAGGAGGTGAATTGGGATCTAAAACTGGAAGGGAAGAGTGGGATAAAATGGGATAAAGATGGATAAAATGGGATAAAAATGAATAAAATAATGTAAAAAAATGGGGAAAAAGGTGTGAAAAACAGGGATATAGAACTGGAAGGGAACAGTGGGATAAAACTGGCTCCTCGTGCTGAGATTTTCGGGAATGTCCCCCAGGAGCTCCCGGTTCCCATCCCCGATATTCCCGAGGCGGCTCTTTGGCCATTCCAAGTGGGGAAAAGTGGGATCCCAGGGCAGGAGGGTGATTTTCCCTGGGCATTCCCGGCATTCCCGGAATTCCTGTGGCGCAGGAGGAGGAGGAGGAGCAGCCCCAGCCGGCGCAGCCGACGCTTCCCGTGGAGGAGAAGAAGAAGATTCCGGATCCCGACAGCGACGACGTGTCGGAAGTGGACGCCCGGCACATCATCGAGTGAGGATTCCCTTCCCTTCCTTCCCTATCCCGGTTTTCCTGCTCCGCATTCCCAACCCTTTCTCTGCATCCCACGGGCAGCGTTCCCTCCCAACCCGGCTTTTCCTGAATATTCCCAAAATAAGCCCCGACTTAGGGAAATCCGTTGGGAAAACCACCCGTGGGGATGAGGGCGCTTCTCTCAACGGGATCATCCCGATGGGAATTCCTTCACCGGGATCATCCCAATGGGAATTCTCTCACAGGGGTCATCCTGACAGGAATTCCCTCACCGGGATCATCCCAACAGGAATTTCCTCACTGGGATCATCCCAGCAGGAATTCACAGGAATTCCGTCACTGGGATCATCCCAATAGGAATTCCCTCACCAGGATCATCCCAGCAAGAATTCACTCAGCGGGATCATCCCAGCAGGAATTCCCTCACTGGGATCATCTCAATGGGAATTCTCTCACCGGGATCATCCCGACAGGAATTCTCTCACTGGGATCATCCCCACAGGAATTTCCTCACCAGGATCATCCCAACAGGAATTCACAGGAATTCCCTCACTGGGATCATCCCAGCGGGAATTCCCTCACTGGGATCATCCAGACAGGAATTCCCTCACTGGGATCATCCTGACAGGAATTCCCCCATCAGGGTCATCCTTCTCACCTCCCTTTCTTCCCGTATTCCCGGTGTTTTCCTGGCAGGAATGCCAAGCAGGATGTGGATGACAAGTACATGGTGCCTGTCTCTCCTTTCTGTCCCTCTGACCTCCCCATTCCCAATGTTTTTTCCCAGGAATGCAAAGCAGGACATGGATGACGAGTACGGGGTGTCTGACCCTCCCTGACCATCCCTGACCCCCGTATCCCGATATTTTTTCCCAGGAACGCCAAGCAGGACGTGGAGGATGAGTACAGGGTTTTTTCTCCATCCCTGATCCCCGTATCCCGGTTTTTCCCCCCAGGAACGCGAAGCAGGACGTGGATGACGAGTACGGGGTGTCTG